AGAAAAGATTAGAAAAATTAATACCACCATCTTCACAGCAGAGTCAACTGCTGAATGGGATCCAGATACAAAAGTCACCAGACAAAAGGTAACAGAGTTAGCTATGCAGGAACACTGTGTGTTAAGTGAGCACTTCACCTGTGAAATAAATACTCATGCACTTCCATATCTTATCACAAGAGGTAGTTTAAGTAAGAATAAATAAGTAAATGTACATACGTGTACAGATTATTTAAAGTATATCTTTAAACTTTTGAGTGTACACCTTTGAACGCTAACAACATCTTTTAACTTGTGAAAGCACTGAGAAACTGAGAAGCCCTCTCCCCTCCTTTTTTTTAAGAAGTAATAAAAGAAAGACTAAAAGAGCAACTTCACGGGGATATTTCTTTAAAAATCCATAGAGAAACCATTTCTTGTGCTCCTGATATATACCAGGGAATAACTCTGCTTTCCAGAGATGTTAATCTGGATTTGATTCTGCCAACTGGCAAAACTGACAAAGAACGCAAAAGAATTTTTTCAGAGGCCAAAATTGCAAAGATACCCATGGCAAAAGAACAAGCCCTTTTTTTGCTAAAAAAAAAAAAAAGGAGGAAAAAGACTTTAAAATATAGCTGCATAGTACCTTTCCTCTTAGGACATCTGAAGGGATAGAAGTGTGTGAAAAAATGGAGCAGGAAACAGAAGAGAATTATCAAAGTAAAACAGCTTGTTTATATTGCCTTGGGAAATCACAGGGAATATAAGGTGAATATAATTGTATCAGAAATCCTATACAAAGAGAAATGTAATGGAGTGAAAAGAAAATAGACAAGTGTGTAGGGGCAAAATTAGAAAGAAGGTAAAAAAAATTTGGCAACAGCAAAAAAAAAAAAAAAAACTCTAAGGAAAAGAGGTTCTTCCTATGTTTCTGAAAAGAGAGAGGAAGGAACTATAAAACCATTATTGAACTGAAATGAGTGTCAAATCAATGATGGTGTACAAGACAACAGATTTTAATTATCTCCAGAAAGGAAAAAACCCTCAGTTAAATTATATCTATCTAACAAAGGGGGGAAAACAGGTCTTAAGGGGAGAAAGCACTCCTTAAGAGCCATTAGATGTATTCCTACATCACACAACAGAAGTATTAACTGCATTCAAGTCAGAAGGGGCTTTGCTTCAGAATAGTTTAGGAAATCAGCAAAGCAAACTAAAGGGAGAGGCAGGCAAGGTCCCAGAGGATGGTAGAAGAGCAAATATAGCAGCAACTTAAAAGCAAGAAGAGGAGAAGAAAGCAGTAATTCTAACATAAAAGACAGAAGGTCTAAACACAGTGTAATTAAATTGAACAAGGAAAAATACAGATGTAAAAGACCACTTAGAAAGGGTAACCATAAAAATACTGCCATGAAGGAAAAGTGATCAGTTTTATTCCATGACTACGGCAGAAAAATTTTTAAAAATTTCCCAGCTTAACTTGTAGTAAAGGAGACTCAGTGTGAACATGAGGTGAAAGAAATGAAGACTAAATAGCAGAATAAAGAGAAATCCATGTTCCTGGAACTTTTTTAAGAACAGGTTAGACCAGCTCTTGACAAGAATCACGTGAACTCCAGAAGCAGATAAACTCCAAGGAGGACAGAGGAACTCCAAGGAGGGAAAGCACTCAAAGCCAGCACACCAAGGTGACCACAGCAGGAGTGCCAAGCACTGCCAAGATAACTGAGGGAACAATACAAGAGCTATCACATTTGGTTATGACTTAGCAAGACTGGAACCAACAGGGAAAACTAATTAGGGGCAAGCTGGTTGTTTAGGAGTAGCCTGGAATGGAGAAAGGGAGGTGTGAAGGAAAGGACCAAGAGCCACAGGCTAACCAGGTAACACTTCTCTGCTCACCACCACAGCTCAAATGGGGGCAGACAGTGAAACCTGCTGTTCTCAGTCCCTCACAAGAATCAAAGCTCCCTTCTGCTGCCAGGAAAAGTGGGGCTGGGAGGGAGGGTTTGGTGCTCTCCCTGGCAACCAGGGGAACAGCTGGGTCTGAGACAGAGCATCTGAGCATCACCATGCTGGGCCTCGCTCATCCCACCTTTTCCTACCACCTTGCCAAGTTCCCTGTCATCCCTGAACTCCCACAGCACTTCTGCAGTGCCAAAGGAGCAGAATCTAAGTCCTACAACTCCATTCATCCTCAACATCTAAAAATAATTTCCGGAATATTCTCAGGGACAGTGATCCATTTCTGCCCTGGGGAGTTTCACCAAGCTACAGTGCTACGGAAAGATGTAATTTGGTTTTTTATTGACCACTCTGTAATAATTTCAGTGAAATGTTTGAATTGTTGCCAACTTCTCTTGTCATATGCAACTAAATCCTTTGACACCTGGGATATAATTTCAGCAACCTTTGAAGGAGATGGGAGAAATGGTAAAACCATGAAGTGAAAGGTTCCATCTGAATAAAATTATATCCACCAAATAAATATGCACCAGATAAATTTACCTTTCTGGTCAACATTCATTGTAAACACTGACAGCAAGTTTTATGGACTCTGGATTCACTACAATGTCAGAAAACCATGAGAAGAGGAGATGATGAGCATTTACTTTGAGTCTAGAATGTATTTTAAGTGCAGATTTGTTTCATTTACAAAGCAGTTCTGAAAAAAATAACCCTTCTCTCAAGTATCTAAAAAACCAAAATGCACAGCTGTGTCTGAAATGCCTTTTGTCCTGTAATTATTCATTGATTTCTTTAATATTACTTTATGGGCCTGAAATTTGCCTATCTATTCAACTATGCAATGCCACTGAAGACAGCAGTCCAAAATCCTCTGGTCATCTTCAAAATAGTAAGGGGGGGAAATACTCAAAATAGTAAGGGGGGAAATACTCAACTCTTAACAAAGACTGAGTGCTTTTGAAAAAAAATGCTGCTATATACTTTGCATCTTAATGGAAAGTCTTTGGATCCCTGACCTCATTGCAAACATCTGTGAATGCAACATGTCCTAATATTCTCCATGGGAGTATCTCTAGAGCTCATGCCACTGTTAAAACATCCACTGAGAAGTCAAAAAAAAAAAATAGCCAGAGGAGCAGATGCTGGAAATTATCTTTTCCAGTCACCATACAATCATTTTCTTAGAGACTTACAGCCATTGTTACATAAGCTCACTCCAGAAACGATACATAACATTTGCTAGACTACAGATGAAATAAAAAGGTCACACATCTGGTAACTCAGAGAATATATTCTGTTTCCATTTGGTAATAAATATTTTCCCCATTACAATTTATACTCCCTGTTTTTCATCAGTCACAGTTCTAACAAAAACTGCATTTCATCCTTTTCCTATCGAGAAACTGACACAAGTTAGCTTTCAGTATGATAGCACCTTCTGTGTAAGCATGGGCACCACACCAACAAAGTAAGTTAACACAGTTTCATGGCATTCAGTTTGAACAATGGAAGTGTTTCACAGTCCAGACAGACAGCACTGGATTCTGCACATCCTGCTGTGGTGGTGATCTATCCCTGCTGAAGAGCTGTTGATACAGTCACTGAAATGTGCCATGGAATTGTTAAGTCATCCCTCAAAAGCCTGACATCAAAATAATGTGGTAGCTCATTAAGTATTTTTCACTATAAAATTTCATTAAGATTTTCATTAATTAGATTTGTGCAATTCATTAAAATAAAATACAGTTATGGATGACAGGAAAAAGCAAAGTAAAGACTATACTGTAGTATTATGAAAAGCAAAAGAAGTATTGAAACATACTTGAGCCAATCTCTACGATTTGGCAAAACAGCTCAAAACACTGAAAAATTGTCTCTCCTCTGCAAAGACTGTTTTTAGCAAAGTGTGAGGAACCACACTGACCCTAATTCAGACCTTAATGTGGTTCCAGATCAGAACAGCATACCAGAACAGAACACAACACTTACAAGGAACCATGAATATTACTGGGATCAGGACTGGAAAGAGAAACATGGAAAAAAAGAATTTTTCACAAGTTCTTTTATCACTTATTTACATATCCCTGCATTGCAGGCACAGCTTCTGGCAGAATGAAACAGGGAAGACAGCAGATTAGTCTCAGCTTCCTCTCAGTGATGCCAAGGGATCACTGATTTCCAGGAAGGCAAAGATATAACCACATGTCAAATACCAAGAAATGCAATTGCTATCATGTCAGATCTAAGCACATGTCCCAGATGGAGAGTCTGGCCTGACTCAGAAGAAAACTGGGTACACAGCAGCTGCTCTATGAATCACTGCTCTGAAACAAAAGCTGGGCACGCAGCTGCTGAGAAGAACCAAAAAGAAACCATCCAGAAGGAAACTCCCATCTTCTGAAAAGTCAGGAAACCCAGGTAGCAAGGTGTTTGGCAGAGCTCTCAGCCCCTGCCCTGTGTGCAGCCAACATGAGCCATATTTCACTAATTACACCCCAAGCAATCACGGGCAACCGAACAGAGAACTTTTACACAACAGAGCAACTGTCTGCAGCTCCAACCTCTCACTGAAGCTCAAATACAAGGTAAAGGTTTTTAAGTCTGCTACTTCATAAATACAACAGATTGCATCCCAGATCCACATAAGCATTGAAGCCAGAGCTACAGAGATTCTGGATCCAAAGTTGGCCAATTGCCAGAACTTGAGTGTCCCCTGCTGCAGCATTAACTCTTTCATTTGGCTTTTTACTGGAAATGGTAAACAAACTTAGGGTGGTTCTCCCATTCACCCTAGCCATAATTAACCTGGGCATGACTATTTTAAACCAACTCATATTTATCCATCCCTACCATACAGATTTCTTCTTTAATGAGAACAAGGTGTTGTCTGCACTCTAGACTACAGAACCAGAGGCTGCACAATGAGAGCTCCCACTTAAAAGTCAGTGATATCAACACCTTGGTGGTTAACAAAGCAATAAAAGCAATTTCACCTAATGTTGATCTCTTTGCTATGTGCACAGCTTTTTAAATCATTTATTTCAACTCACCAAAATTTCTCTTTGTTCTTCAAGATTTTTTAAAAAGTTTGAAAACTCATGAAATGATGCATCTGTAATATAAAATAATACAAAGAAAGTTTAATCATGTTGCAGGATGGCATTGACAAAATATATCCACTCATAGTCACTTCTTACCTACCTATGTATCTTTCATCATCAGTCTCTGCATCACCAATGAATTCAAATTTAAAGTCTCTCAGAGAATGGGCAAATTTTCTCTGGGCTGCTGAAAGGTCTGCAAGAAAAAGAGCACAGGTTGAAGGGTAAGCAGTCATTTTATGTAGGCCAGAAGATCTTTCTATACCTAGAATAACCAACTTTTACAAGAAACTCTTAACACAGGTCTGTCTAAGGACATTACAGGACATCCAGTGTTGCCTAACCCTCTTCTGATAAGGCACTTGTCACACAGATTTCTTGATGCAAAGCTATACAGTAGAAAGCCTAACCCTCTTCTGATAAGGCATTTGTCACACAGATTTCTTGATGCAAAGCTATACAGTAGAAAGCACATGTGATCATGTGTATAGTGTTGTGTCTATCCTTACAGTGCACTTCAATTTAGGGCACATGAAAACAAATCTGTAATTACAGAAGTCAAGGGCACAACACTGTAAGTTGTACAAGTTGTCTTGCTCTGCTAACCTAAATTCACTCATATATTCATCAGCACAAATACACATCTTGGAATTTTCTAGGCACTATATATAGATAACTCTGCTAGTGAAACCTTTATACATAAATATACATAAACCCAATACAATAGAATTGTTGCACTTGAACTAGAAATTCCATGGAGTTAAACTCTGCCAAAAGCTAAGTTAAATGCACAGCATTAAAATTAATTTTCTATAATAACTGTTTTGCAATAGCTATAAAACATTCCCAGCAATCCAAATTTAACCCATTAACATTTGACAATTTCAGGTCAGAGGCTGCACTCTTGCACTTCTCAGGATGTAATTAGACTCCATATTCAGTCACAATATCATCATGATAAACCCTCCCTGAAATTCATAAAGCTGTAAATAAACACTGTGCACACACTTTTCTGTTGTGCTGACATGTGCATGTTGGGAATGTCACAAGTTCTGGAAGGATTCAATTGTTCAGGAGGGAAAAAAAAAAAAAGGATGCATGTCCTGGTACACTTCTACCCAATTGTGAAGGTTCTACTCACATTTTTGTTGTCAGCCAAAGTTAAGGACAACCTAAAGTACTTAGTTAATCTATAATCTTTTTCTTATCACATGCAGTTCTGAAGGGTTAAGAAGAACTCTTTTAACAGGCCACCTAATCATTTTGCTCTTTAATATTAACAGGCACTAAAAGATTACCAGCTTGGTCTTTTTTGTTCTAGTTTTAGGAGGGAGGTAATTTGGTTTGGGTTTTTTCTCCTTTTAGTTTGGGGTTTTTTGTTTGTTTGTTTTGTTTTATCAATAACAAACAAAAAATCACCTAATTTTATTACCAGTCCTGCATCTGACACATCATGTATTTTATCACATGTCATAGTACAACACCTTATACTGGAAGTTCAGTTCAATCACTTAAAATGTTAAGTCAAATACTCTAAAAACAGCAAAACAGTCTAAAATGAAAAAAAAAAAGCTTTTTGTTCCTTTTCCTTTCTTTTCACCCATTTCTCATTAGCCCTCTCCTCAGCCATTGTGTAACAGAGCTGTTCCCTCCTAAACCTGTGCATGTACCCTCCAACACATGATGTAGCAGGATGCTGCACAGGGTTGAAATAACAAGGATAAGAAGGTTGAAGGAAGCAGTAACCTAACTCCCATGAGAAAGGAAACATGGGTGTTTTAATTCAAATGTCTCGTGGGCTGAACAGCTGTTCATAAAGCAAACAGTGAAAGAAACAAGTTCTGTTGGCTGTGAAAGGCTTAAATATGGAAAATAACAAGGTTCTTAACCATCTAATATTACACTTATTTGTGAGCCAGGTCACAGCACAAGGCTGAAAAGAATTTATTTATGGGAGAATGGTTCCAACAACACTCACTCTCCCAAACTTATTAAATTTTCTTGAATCCAATAATCCCCTCCCAAAGCCCTGTCATATGAGAGTCAGTGCCACGCTAGAGGAAGGAATTGTTTATTATGTTTCTCCTACTTGTAGAGGTGAAGCATTCAATCATGTTGAGCAAGGTAGATGCCAAGAGACTCATGCAGCACCACACACACACAGCACCCCCATTTCCCTTCATGGACTGAACAGGTACAATATTAGTGACTTTATGAGCCTTTCTAGACTGCTGTCAAACTTTCACCTCTCTCGTGACAGCGACAGCAAACAAAACTTATGGCCACACCCAGATTCTTTCAGTGCAAAGTCTAACATCTACAGTCAGCTTGAGAATGGGCTGAATTAAAACATTCAGCTTCTCACAGGATCAGAAACCCACATTCCTGTATTTCTCATTACTGAACCTGCTCAGGGATTGGAAATTACTGACCCAAGGACTGACTACATTGTTGGAAGCAATAACCTTTTCACACATCAGAGCCATATTTGCAGAGTTCCTCATTAAAACCATGAAGATACATTAAATTTTTGTAACATATTTCCACAAATAATTTCTGAAACGTTTAAGAACCATTACAGAAAATTTTGGAAACTATCGGTGAGTGGGAGGGACTTGGGGATTTGGGTCACAGAATAACAGCCTGATGGGTCAAGAGAAGTTGCAGATACTTGACTATTGAATCAACACCTGGAAGAAAACAAGAAGAGATTTTCTGGATTTTAAGGACTTAGCACTTTCAACAAAAGAAGTCACTGGAGCAAAATCAAGTATCAAATAGCAACAGAGGAAAACTTTCTCAGAAGGTCAGAGCAAGAATACTGATTTCTTTTTTGTTAAGGCACAGGAAAAATTACAAGGATGGTGGTTTGAAACAAACAAAAAAGGAAGATAGCATAGCTTTGTGGTGGATTTTCTTGCCACCTGACAAACCAGCCAGAGTGAGATACCTGAGACTACTTGCAGTCAAGCCTTCCATTGTGGGACAAACACCATCAAACTGCTCTGATAAATTCCAAATGTCTTACAGTACATACACATAAGTTCACCCAACTATAAGCATTTATAAAAACAAACTAGATGCTGATATCACTGTAAGTAGTATAGTGTCTGACTATTGTGCTACAATTTAAATGCTGAGCATTGTTGCTTGAATTAGAAATTTCATAAACGTAACTTGGCCTTCTTCCATAATGTGTCAGAAGACCTTTACTAGAGCAAAATTATTTGTCTGGCACTGACAGATACATCCCAGCATTGTTGCAGACCGGCATGAGAGCCTGCAGGACCAGTGTGTGTTATTTAGCAGACTGTAAACCCAAATGGATTCCAGCTACAAACACTAGAATAAGACAGCAGTTGAGTACAATTAGGTATCAAACAGCATGAGCAGTTAACTGGTTATGTGAATATTGCTGTGGCCTACTGAAGAGTAACTATTTTTTCCCTTTAATCTCCATATTTACAAAGTAACACCAAACTGAAAGATAAAAGAAGCAGCAATGGGGTTGTTGCTTGTTACAAGCTGTGGTTATCACTGAAAAAGGAGGAACAGGGCATTCAAGATCAAAGAGTGCTTTAAATATCAACCAAACACTAACACTGCTGAATACAATGGAATCCCAGCAAACCCATAAGGCAGAGTCATTTCAAAGATTCACCTTCTAAAACACTAAAAGAAACTAAGCATCTGCTAAATGTTTTGACCAAAAGGCTGAAGATAGATTTCCAAGGAGAGAAGGGAGGGGACCCAAGGACACCAGGGCTTTTAATTTTTTTTTCTTTGGCATTATTCATATCAGTACAGCTTTTCATTTTTTCTTTGGCATTGTTCATATCACTACACTGTACTTCTTCATGTTCAATGCAACTATTTAAAAATAGAGCAGAAGAAACAGGAGCAGCTTCCTGCTTCCTCACCTTGCTCTGAAACACCTTGGTAACAAGTGCTCCTGTGAGTTTGTCCAGTGACAGATGCACTGCCAGTAGCCTACACAAAAACCTTGATATTTTTTCCATTTGGATTTGAAAGAAAATACTTTTGTTCCTTATCTGAGTCGAGCTGAGCCAACATGACACCATTAGTTGCTGGGTGGTGGCCAAGCCTCACTTAACAGCACCAGAATCCAATGACTCCCTTTAAGATCAGTACTAATCTCAGTGCTAGCCACACAAACCAGAAGTCTTGCACAAAGCCTGACAATATTGCTTTCTAAAGCTATTCTGGATCTCTTTTGGAAGGCAGAAGAACTACACCCATTTGTATGAGTGTTAATATTTTTCTACAACAATAAATACATTTCTGCATCAAGCTTTTAAGAAGGACTGGAATTACATCACCATTCCTCAATCCTAACTTCAAGTTTCACTGACTCTTAACAGATATACTCTGGGAATGAGAGATCTCCAGCAGCTTTATTTAACATGGATTAAAACTGCTCTGGCTTCATTGAACAACATCCTCCCTAAAAAGCTAGAATGTTAACAAACATTTAGATTTAACTACCAAGATCATCTTCAAGCTATTTTAAGCTTAATCAAGCTAATATTAGATTTCTCAAGGTATTTTCTTTGCAGTAGGCCAAGATGAGGCAAGCCACACACCATTGTGAAAAAGGCAAGAACAAGCTGAGCTGAGTTGGCCTCTCCCCTCTTCTTCCCAGGCATCAATCAAGATCAAACAAGAGCCAGCAAAGCAGCTTCAGAGGAACAGAGCACTTAAAATAGTTTGTCCAAGAGCTGCAGTACAGATTCATATGACATTTTATACAAAAATGCACCATCTCAACACTTTAAAAGCAACTCTGTGTTCCTTTTCTGTGTCCCCTTTCACAAGGTGAAAAATGAATCTAATATAATCCATGACACTGAGAACATGAACAGGATTTAGTCACTACCTTAGCAAGGTGGATAAACAGGATTAATTTAGTAACTTAGCAGATGCAGGCCATGTGGCAGAATTCCTAAGAGCAGTGGCACATTCCAACTCCCTAAAACTAAATAAACTTTTTACTCCTCATTTTTATCTGATAAATATATTGAAAGAGCCATCAAAACAAGAAAATTTACAATGAAGCTAAAACACAAAGTCACTCATTCCCATCCAAAACCTGAATGGAAATCAAGTTCAAAGTCTAAGAGGTTTCTGGAGTCCCATTTTAATCATGTCACATCACCCATGGCAGCTCACAGGTTT